AGACTCTGACGAAATCAGTATCTGGCGTAATGGTCTCTTTGGACCCTACAGCGACTGGGTGGGCCAGTACCTCGCCGTCGCAGCTGTTGAAGGACACCCATACGGCCCTCGATCTATCCAGCAGTTGAGAGCTGAGATTCAGATCCGAGGCGATGAGTACGAGGATCGACACGGGATAGTGGCAGTCCCATCGACCTCCACGTCACATTCTGCAGGTCCACCAGGGTCGTCCGAACAAGGAGGCCTATACACAGCCACTCAGCAGCAAAGTCAAACTCGTCAGGATCAACCTATCAGCAAACCCACAGGGTCAGGTCGTAATAATCCTCAGAACCGACACGAATGTCTCTCCCACAGGTGCCAACGATGCTATGCCGAGGATCATACGGTGGCAGAATGCAAAGCCGCCAAACCAGCCAAATGTGAGAGCAGGTGTCGACACTGTGGATTATCCCATGAGTATATCCCTGGTTGGGATCCGAAAAATTCCAGATGCAGCAATCGTTTCGTCGCCACATCGACTTGTCGGTTATGTTCGAAAATAGGGCACTTTGCTAGAATCTGCATGAAGGGGCGCTCAAATTGTACATCGAATGATAAGACAGCACTTGATAGTAAGGCACAAGACACCAAAGCACAAGCTACAGACAGGGATGCCGGACAAGCTCTGGCAGTCTCGTTACCGAATGATCAGACAGCTGGCATTCGCTACGTTACCCTAATATTCCGGAACCCCGGCTCCGGGGAGATCAGGCTTCGGGCCATGATAGACTCAGGTAGTAGCGAATCATTCCTCTCTCGCCAGAAGTATGACGAGCTGAGGCAAGCAGGCATCATTGATCAGGTCTCGTCTCAGGGCAAAGGGATGCCTGTCGAATTCGGTAATGGAGGCGTTTCCACACTCACAGGTCGAGCCAAATCGAAGAACTGCTATCTTGAAGATGGCACTTATCTTCCCATTGAGTGGGGGATACTCGAAACCCTCAGTCCATGCTCTGCTGTCTTGAGCATGAAGCCACTGCGCGAACGAGGCGCGGTGTGGATCATATCTCAAAGCGGGGATAGACTTTACGTTGGCCAAGATAAAAATTTTCTTCCCTCATCATCAGCTGTATATGCTCCGGGCATGCACACGAGTCGTGCGATCATGAATGTCATCACAACGGCCCCTCCACAAACCTTGCTAGATGAACTATCCGGCGTGCGGAATTTTGATGAGACCTCACCTTATGACGATCTTTATGACGAAGACAAAGCAGGCTCAGATTCTCCCCAAGATGATCACTGTCACACAGCAGGATCGCACAGAGGGAAAAGAGCATCATTAGATGCGCCACTAGCCGTATCCATTGGGCCGCCAGACGAGAGCGCGCCCAGAGGGAGAGTC